AAACTTACGATGAGACCAATCTGTACAGAAGACAAGTCATACCATGAAACCCCGCTCAATGTGGCTGACTGCAACACAGAAAACCGATGTCAATTATAAATGGGAAAGAAACATTAGAGTCAAGTCAACATCACTGAGTGGTGCAGCCCTGATGCTTGCTTTTGCCAATAAACACCTTACTGAAAGATATGGGTGCTAACAAAAGAAAGATGATACCTCGATAGAAATGGTTGCACAAGAAGTGCCACCGATATCATAGCCATACAGCAGTCCTCCAAGAGCAGGGAATAGAAATCTACAAGTAACCAGACGCAACATTGTCAATGCAGCTTTTACAGTATAGAATAATGATGGGGGCAATCTATTAGAGATTGCGAGCACTCACGGCAGAACTGCAGCAGCCACAGAGTAGTTTTCTGGAATCCCGTGACTGCCATTGATCAGAGGCTCCTGATCATCGCCAATCTCGCCCGACGACTTCCCCACCTAACAAATAGAGAGGATCCACCACTATCAGCTACTGACATAAGATCAACCGAGTATTTACCCGCCCAAAAAAAAAAAAAAAAATCATCAAGGGCAAGCAAACCGATGTTCACGCTCGGCATAAAATTAAACCTCAAGAGGCAATTTCATTTGACTGGGTCTAAGATAAAGGAGAGAGAATTCCAGGGAAAGGGGAAAAGGAAAAAGGACAAGAGAGAGCTGCAAGTATGCCCTGATACGAAAACAAGCGACAGCAGAAGAGGCGTATCCACATCAACAGCGAGATGGGGAAACCAGAGAGAAATGAAGAAGCCACAGGGGAAGAAGGTAAAAGCGGGAGATAAAGAGGAAGGACCTTTCCGAGAGAGGATAGAGTGTGGCGCTCAGGATCAGACTCCATGCTTGCAACTGGTCCGGAGCAGAGGAAAGGAAACCTATCGCCAGACCACAGCGATGTTGGAGAGAATCAGAACAGAGAGAGAGGTTGGTTGGGATTTTTATGGGGACTAAATTGGAGAGGAAGGAGGAGATGTTGGTTGGAGTGCTGGGGGTTCGAATTCAATCCCCCCCCACCCCCCGCCCTGGAATGGACGTTAGACGAGCTGACCGGTAAAGCCGAAGTTCCTCGCGCCTCCACCGCCCTCCAAACCCTCTTTCTCCTTCTTCTCCTTCTTCTCCGTTGACAAGAACACGACAAAATTGATCATGGGACTCGACTCTTCGGAGACATCCGATAAAAAAGACGATGGACTCCAATCGAACTTCACGCGGGCACGTGCGATGTCCGTACACGGACCCCAAATCGCTAATCCCGGATTAGAGAGAGATATTTTCTTCTCACCGCAACAGAAAGATTGAAGTTCAAGGAACATTGTCGTGCGCGTGACGGTGGAGATGACGTATGTTGCCCCGTTTGATTCAATTTTACAAATGAAACTTGAGAAAATGTAAATATCTTTGGATTAAAATTTTTTTGGGAAAATGTAAATGGCGTTTGGTAAAAAATCATTTATGAAATTACTTTGGCTCATGTAATGTTTGGCAAATTTTTTTTATAAAGGACTTTGGGAATTTTCTTTTATTAAAAAAAAACTTACCCTACTCTTCGCCGGAGTCGGCGAAGGCCTACAGCCGCCGACGAGCTAGGTCTGGCGCCGGCGACCGTCGCCCGAGGCCAGGCGACCCTCGGCGAGTTAGTCAATAATGAAGACCAACCCCCAATAATAGATCTTGGATCAATAATGAAATTGTCTTGCATGAGCCAACAATTGTAACCTCTAGAAAATGATTCACGCCCAAGGAAGAAGCTATGGACTAGAGGACAACCAACTTCTTTTGGAAGTTACTTAATAATTGAGATATAGTACCAATAATGGACAACTTCTGAGAAAGTTGTCAATGATAAAGCTTGACAAAAAAAACCCCAATAATAAAGATAGGAATCTGGTGAAAGATTTCAGCAATTGAGTCTTGAAAACTAAGGCTACCATTCACGCTCAACTTAAAGGCTCACGACCAAAGGAAGGTAAAGAAAGAGAGAGAGAGAGAGAGAAATCATAATGATTTACTCAGGCCTTAAATGAATTAGTAGGGCCTAATGACCCTAAGGTAGAGACTTGGAGGCCAAGTTGGAGATAAATAGCCTCAATTAAAGGCTTGCATAAGAAGTTTAATTATGGCCAAAGACTTTTAAGGTCTCATCATAATGAAGCTTAAACTTTAGGGCCTTTCATTAATGGATTTCGGCCTTAGCTCATTAGGACTATGAGTGGATCATATTATAAATAGGCTCGGGTCCCCCTTAGTCTCATTTTTCCTCACAACATCACCATCCACGCCTACCCCCACCAACCGATTCTCTCTTGTTCACGCCACCTTCCTCTTGCTCACGCCAATCACCACTTCATTCTCACGTCACCATTTGGTCCTCACAAAATCTCACTTTGTCAAGTAGAGTAAGTACATTCCCTAATCTCGGAATAGGATGACTCAATACATTATTAGCTAATGTTTAATCTTGAACCATGCTTGGACTTTATTTAATGCGGATTTTGTTTGTATGGTTGTCTATATAAGCAAAGCATGAGTCTAGACACGTCTCGTGCATGAGAAAGGGCACGTATGCCTTGTACGCACGCCATGGTGCATGAACCGAATGAATGTTGTGCGTTTGTTGATACGTCCATAATGGAAATACCATGTTTTATGTTTACTTGGCAATTGCATTACATCACGAGTGATGTTTGGACGGTGAGCACATCTTTGCTCTTGATCTGCCGTCGATACCCAGGGTGGCAAGGTTGAATACATGTCTAATGACGATTGATTCCTCCTAATCTGAAAGTAGTGAATTTACTTATTAAGTCAACGACTCATTCCCCGTTGTTTTTTCCTCTGACCCATAGGATGGCGACCGCTACAATCCGGTTTGGAACCCCTGTGGAGATGATTGTAGATGTGATCGATGTGGCCGGAGGGAGAGCATATCGTAAGGTCATTTCCTAAGTCATGGTTAATGAAGGCCTTGAACAAAATGTTCCGCATGTGTTCGAAGCCTGGTATGAGTGGACCGAGGATGGCGGATTGATCGGATCCCTTCGTGGGTTTAATGGCCCGTTCGGCGATGCTCATGGCCCGGCACCCGGGACTGCCGCGGACGGGGCCTAGTTGGCCAACCAGACTTGGGAATGACCGAGTGTTTTTGGGAAAATGAACTTTTTGGAGGAACTTTTTTGAAGAATAATTAGTAGCGAGATTAGGTGTAACCCAACCTTTGTTATAGCTGCTTCCGCTTGTCCGTAATTGCAAGATAAAAATTTAACGGGACGTCACAAGTATGCCACGGGTCACGGTCTTGGCCGTGGCCGGGACGTGACAGCCATCACCTGGGTCGTGTGACCTCGCCGGCCCAATCTGGTGTCGGTCATCCTCGCGCAAAAGATGAACAGTAATAAGAGGGGCAAAATCGAAATAAGCCAGAATAAGTTAGGGTAGTTTGGGGGCAAAAAAGTTGGTTTCGACATTTGGCAAATGCTGAAAACCCAAAACTGGTCCGGACCCGCTTTGGGCTTTGAGCATTCTCAATGCTGACTTTCAGCCGAAAGCCTATTAGGAATACTTGCCAAACGGTTCAGCATTTTATCTCGAAAACCCCTTCCTAAAGCTGAACCAATCTTTGGCACAAAATAAGAACGGGCATTGGATTGGGGAACGTGGGCGTCCCAGAAATGAGAACTTGGTCCCTCTCCCCATCACTAGATTCACTTGGTAATCGTAAGCCTCCTTGTCCCATCCGTTTCCCCCCTCCTCCTCCTCCTTCCCCACTCTCGCCACGCCAAACGTTGAAAAGGGCAAATGGTCCACGTGTATGATGTACCTCGGCCTCGCATCATTGATTACATTCGATGTGTGCAGCTACCGACCAGCGAGCTCCGTCGTTCAACCATTCTCAAATGATTTGCACCGTGGAGGCCCGTCTGCCACCACATCGTACATGTGATTCTTACTGAATTTGTCTGCAAACCCCACATCGTCCCAAACCATCTTTTTTCCTCTTCTGTAACGCTTCTTCACTTTTAGACCGCTGGATGGGCCTCCACAATCCAAATCTTGTGAAGTCAGGAGTTGTCCCTCACGAGAACTAATAAGTGTTCCGTGTTCCTTACGGGCTATGTACGATTTTAGTTCCCTTTTTAAGTTTTGGTATTCGTGCGATTTGATCCTTCTAACTTTTGTTCTGTTCAATCATAGCCCTCTAATACTTTTGAATTTGTGCGATTTGGTCCTCTGAATTTCATTTTAAATGCTTCGGTCGACAAGTCTAACTAAACCGTCAAATTAATTAACGATGTGGCATTGCTTACATGACAGGATATGACACGCGATGCTGATTTAACGCCGAATGAGCAAAACACAAAAGGGAAAAAAAAAAAAAAAGGAAAACAGAAAGCCTAATTTTGATACTTAGAGTGGGTTAACAGAGTATTTGATTGCACAAATCAAGAAACTTAGAGGATTCAACTGCGCGAAATAAATTTAGAGGACCAAACTGACAAATTCTCAAAGTTAGGACTTGATTGCACAAAATGAAATAATCAAATAGCACAAATGCTTAAACTTGGAAGACTAAATCTATACTTTAACTCTTTCCTTCTCTTTGTTTTGTTGCTTTTGGCCAGGCACGGGCCGTTTCAGATTTCATATTTATTTATTTTCATAATAACTCATTCCTTTGTGTAAGATATTCAGATTAGAGATCAATCTCGAGACTTTCACGGCAAAACCATTCATAATTTTGAAATGCTTACTGAATACTGTGACTTTGTCTTTCACCTTAATCAAGAAGGTCCCTTCTTTAAGTAATTTCTCATTTAGCATCCTGAGGCTCTCTCTGAGCTATGATCAACTGTCCAGAAAAGGTTTAAACGTGATTTTTGCCTCTGTTCTTCTAATGTCTTCTGGTAAACTAAAACGGCTCCAGGGTCAGTATAATCAGGAGGATTTGCAAATTTGGATGATATCAAAGAGAGCAATTCGCCAGGTAAAATCAGTCGGTAACAGAAGCCTCCTCAATGTAGCCGGGAGGGACACGGGATGACACTTCCCTAAATTTAAGAGAAAAAGATACTTACATTGCTAGTCCTACAAGTCGATAACTATGGCTAAAGACTAGGAAAACACACCATCAAGTTTTCAGACCACAGCGCTCGTCATCCATTTGAGCGATCAAAGTAGAGCCATTGTAAGAGAGAAAAGGTTATGTGTCCTGCTCAGCTTATAATTTTTGCCTCCACGATTTGTATTGGCTTCCTCCGTCCACTCTCATCCAAGGAAGGTGCGCTTCACGCGGGAAGCTTCAACTTCTCATGATTTTTCCAACTGAACACAAAGCAGAAAAATAATTTAGATGAGTGATCCGTGGAAGCTGACTGGATAGGTTTTTACAAGCAAGTCCAAAGAGCACTGTACCTTTTAATGTAATAGTAAAAGAAGTCCACATAAAGGGCCGTCTGAACAAGGCCCGACACCCAAGCTGTGTTTACAGTAAGAAGCAAACTCCTGTTAGCTTTCAAACAAATCAAGAGGACTGATACTCAACAGAAAAGCAGAAGAACATACGAATCCAGCGTATTTTGTGCGTCTCCGTGAAGAAACGAAATACCCAGTTAACAAGATACAAGGCTCGATAGGCACTGCAATTGAACAAAAGAAAAAGTTTGTAAATAACTTTATAAACCCAAAGCACAAAAATTCAATGTCATTGCTAGCCAGAGCGGACTTCATGCCTTGGAAAGAACCGGACAGAAAATTTTACACACTCCTGGCACAGGAAAAAAAAATAAAAGAGTTTGAAGAAAGGACTCCAATCTTCCATCGAAACGATCATTTCCCTGTCTGTGCCAGAAGAATATTCTAGCAAACACCAGAAAAAGGGTATGGTGGCAGTCATCTTGCACAAGCAGCCAATAAGCCATTGCTATGAGTCAATTCGATGAGGACGAGACGAGCACTTAGACAATATGCCTCAGTCTCCACCACCACATGACAGACCGGGCCAAAACCAGCCAGACGAATGCCAACTTTGCTGCTAATTCCAAGAGAACATGCACTTAAACAGGATGATCCAAATCGGTATTGAATGCCACTGACTCACATAAAAGGAAGCATTATTTTCTTTTAGGGAGGGAGGCTATAGCTATGCAGAAGTGGTCATTTTCATTACAAAAATTTCTTATTGACAAGTCTCTTAATAGTAAATCTTTCTTCTAGAAAGTAGTTTTCGGAACTTGGCGCATTGTCAAAATGTGACTTCAGCGCCAAGCATCAGCTCAACAGGTTAATTGAGAGTGTGCCGGACAGTCAAAGTAAGATATGTTGAAAAGGTGCACTTTTATTATCCCCAACTGGCTTCGAAGAAATATATCCAGCCGAAAAGTCCTACTAGTAATTATAGATCTGGGTCATTGAAACATATCATTCAGCTGATGATACTAAAAAGGAAAAAGTGGTGATCGTACTTTTAAAATGAATGGCTGCAGCAGAAATAACTTTCCGGTTCAACCAAATTTCCAACATAATTCTCGGTTTTTGGGGTTCAACTTGTATTTTGGTCATGTTATTTACATTTTATTGTATGTGATCAAGAAAATATATTACATCAGATTTAGCATATAAATCTCTGTTGGATTAGGTATCTTAATCAGATAGTATATAGATTCTAGGATTTGGGTTAACTCAAGGAGAGTAATCAAGCCTTGTAATTTAGCATGTATCCCTATCTAGGCATATTCTGCCGATCCATGTATATCTCATACTTTTTGTAATTGTTTACCTTTCCTGTCAAGTCGGATCCTAAATTGTTTCTTTTATGCTTCCACTGCCCAGCCACTAATGTTCACAAGCAACATAACAGTAACTTCAGGGGAAGGCCACAAAAACAAAGTTGTCTTTCTGCAATAACAGTTGCCTTGCTAAAAGATGCATTAAATTCCACATCAGAGGGGGGTAGAATGACAATATACAAATAGAACTCTCATACTTTACTAAATGCCAAATTTTGACTGGTTTTGGATTTGGAGGTCAGCGACAACATGTTTCATAAGAAGCTCTATATTATCTGCTCCAAAGCTTGGGAGCATTGTAGCAGATGATTTCACAGAATCAAATGAACATACAGACCGAATAAATAGCCTATGTTGTTAGGTAGAGATTAACCACCTTCATTACTCCAATCATCACATAGTTCTCTCTTACCGTTGATTGAAAGAAAGAGATTTGCCTGATTATCAACTAATAGGGTCAACATTTCTATTCCGTTAAACCAATCCAGGTCTTAGTTTGAACAAATTTACGTTAAACCAATCCAGGTCTTAGTTTGAACAAATTTATGACATTTCTACTTCACACAGCCTTTCCAAGACAAGACTCAAAAGATTGTATAGAAAAATTACATATGCTCAACGAATTTCACTGTAGTCTTACAAGGTCCGACCAACCGTTTCCAAGAAGAGTGCTCAATCCTACTCCCAATTAAAAAGAGGAAAAGTCACAGGATGGAAGCTACTAATTTCCTTTCAGCTTCCCCGTACTTTTCATGGAACCTAGAGATGAATCGAAATGAAACCGCCATCTTTAGATTCAAAAGTTTTACACCTAAGGAGAAGGCTTCACAGCACTAACATTGCTTTGGGGTTAAATTATTTTTCATTGCCTTCATAGAGGATGCCGACTAGCGCCGCCTTTATATGAAGATAACTAATCCCAATACAAATCAACAGGTGGAATACGTAGTAAATTTGCAAGCACTATGGCAGCAGAGAAAGATGATTTGCTTGGCTAATAAATGGTAAGCAAATCAGGAAACACGGTCAAGGATGCAATTGATTATAGCCTCCCAAAGAAAGAAAGGTAGCTACCTTCTCGTTACAAAGCCCTGAGATTATAACTTTACTATAAAGGAAAAGAATTTATGGAAAAAATGAATTGGACATACCCAAGAAGAAAGACGTATCTTCCTGTTAAGTTGTCGACGTTCCTTGACCTCTGCAGTAACACCAGTTGCGGCAAGATTGCCACTGCTTCGAGATATATCGAATATGTCCAGAGAATCTGAAGGGAAAGGTGAGGTTCCCATCATACAGAACCCAAGGTTATTTCATAATAGGAAGGCAACGCCACAACACTGGTTTATTGTCCAAGAACATGGCATTAATATGAAATGCCGGCATCAGCCCCAACCCAATTTGAACCGAATGGCAGCATGGGCAATAGAGTTCACACTATTCGGCAGTTAGCTTGCAGGGTGTAACTTCATTATACGAGCAGTTTTGCCATGTGAATGATGCAAGTTAGGGGCATGAAATGTGTCCATTCAAATCGTCCATTTTATAATAGCTATAGGTTCTGGGAGTTGGGGTTTGGGAATTCAAAGACTACTGAACGGAAAGCAATCTATTGATACCCTGACTTCTATGGTAACAGCTACCATCATTTATGAAGGAAAGCTAGCAATACAAAAGAAATATGAGAAGTAAAATATGTTAACATCTCGTACCTCAATCCCGGTGAATTCAAGGGGAATCAAGATTGCCAGAATGAAGCACAGGAGGATCAGCACATAATGTTTGAACGTATCTTCTTCCCGGGAATAAGTCTGCTTCACTACTTTATGGTACCTCATGTACCAGACTATGGCAACCGAAGTCCCAATAAAGAAGAGCTTCATTACAGTGTTGTAGAAAGACACGTACCTCGTGAACAAATCGAGGTAGCGCGCGAAGAAGACGATGACATACAGTTCTTGAGTCTTGAGCGAAATACCTGTGCCAATAAAGTGAACTTGCGAAGTTTACAAAACAAACGGTGCTGGAAATACATAACGATCGTGCAATGGAAAGCTGATGAATGGCCGGTTTCCTGACTGATGGAGGGATGATCTTCCATGATGACAAGGGGATATAAAATGCAAATGAAAAAGGCTACGGCACGAGCAGCCAATCAAATGTTTAGTCAACATCTTCTTGGCGAAAGTAAAGCAAATCCCAGGACCCAAACAAGCGGCACCCGCTTCAAATTGATCGAGAGAGAATGCCGAGATGGGTTTCGAAAACATCACCCAAGAAATAGAAGGGACTCGGCCTGATTGGGAGAAGGGGGAGCCTGTTTGAGAAGCGGAGCGAACGGAAGAGGCCATGCTTCCGTTCTAGCTCGAACGAGAGGAAGGAACGGACTGCTGGGAGCCAAGGGTGAGGAGAAACACAGGAAAGAACACATACCGGCACAGGACTTGGTGGTGCGAATCTTGAGAAGGAGGACGACTATGCTGAGGAGGTGGGTCATGTCCCCTGCTAGCCTGAATATGTTCATGGTTGCTCGATTGTTTGATTCCTCTCTCTCTCTCTGTCTCTGTGTCTCTCTCGATCGATCGATGGGGCTTGTCCTGGGTCTGAAGAGGAGAAGGAGATGAGGTTGACCGGGGGTGAGTTTATCGGCTGCCAATTTCCTCCTCCTCCACCGACCGGGCGACCCAGTCTTCGGCCAAAACAGGTCGCTTGTTTCAAACCAGCTTTCAGGGAAAAATTCAAAAAAGGGCATCGACCGAGATTTCACGTTTCTTCAAACATGGGCTTAAAGTGAACTTTATGATAAATAATATGTCGGTTTCAAATAAGCGCTTGAAATGACCATAATAATAATCTCACCAGTCGCCGGGCGACTAAATATTCTGGCTGATCAAAGACATTTTCGTCCAAATTTTTATTTGAACTTATTTTTTCTTTTTTCTTTTTTTTCTCATTTCTTTTTTTCTGGTTTTTTTATTTGTTCTTCGCCGATAGTCCGGTCAAGAAAAAGAAAAAAGAAAGAAAAAAAGGAAAAAAGAAAAAATTCAAAAAATGTGAAGGACGAAAATGCCATTGACCAGACAGAAAGTCATGCCTTTCTTTGAAACTGACATAGTTATTTCGTTCCCTTATTTGAAACGAGGTAATCTTATTTAAAGAAAATGAGGGCACTTAAAGCCTTAATTTGAAACCTTTCCAAAACATTTATGTTGAAAACGAATTTTTTATAAGCATATTATGTAAACACAAAATAATTGAGTCGGAAAAGTCATTTATTGCACTTATTTAAATTTATCATTATGTTTGAAAAGTTACTAAGCGAAATTCCTTTTTTTTGTTTTAAGGGGGGGGGGGGGGGGAGTTTATAGTTTGCACATTTCTCTTTGAAATCTACTAATCACTTTTAAAAACATCATAATCCTAAATAATCTACTTTCCTCCTCATGAGAACTTCTCAATCATTGTACGACAATACATCATTAGTCAATATATTGATACTTGCTCGTTCTGTATGAAAGCCATGGAGTGTTAATTTGGTACAACCATGGTTACATCGCAGTTCTATTGCGTTGTAATTATACCATGAAACGCCATAGCATGTAAATTGGCATAATATATTTTAGATATGCAGCAATCGGAAGTTTGGTATAGCAGCTGTTGCGAGGGATTCGTCAAACACTTAGGCTGCGTTTGTTTCGCGGAAAATGAATTATTTGGAAAATATTTTTCTAAAAATTATCTCTTCCAATAACGAACGAATGAAAAAGAATTAATCGTCCACGTAAATATTTAAATATAAATTATTATCGACGATGAAAACATTTTTTATTAGCTACTGAGATCGAAATTGCAGCGTCCCTCATCTTTTCTTTAGTTTGGTGCAGCTTAGGTCGTAAATTTGCGCCTACTCCTTTGAAAAATGACCTTGACATCCTCGGAGAGAATCCGTCTCGGGCTGAAGATTGGAAGGCCTATTATTTCCTTTGAGATCCGTAGAGGCTTTAAAGTCAAGTTTAACAGCAAAGCAACTCCCTAGGATGATGGTCGGTCGCCGACGTTAGCAGAGACCGAATCCTGTGTCCCGTTCCGCAATTAACCTTTTGACCGGAGAGATTAGGACAACAGGCAAAAGGATGCACGGATGATTCCCGTGTACCTGGTCGGCTGCTTCGCCGAGAAGAAACTGATCATCTGCAGAAGACTGAGGTGTGCAGGCGCAAGGCCTCCTCTTGAAGTAAGGGTCTCCGCGTTCGATACCACGGCCTAGGAGCAAAAAGGCTGCACTGTTCCTCCGCTAGATGCGCGGGAGGATCCAAAGTGTTGGACTTTAAGGGAAAGTTAAAGCAAAGGAAGTCCTATCAAAGTCGACGAGGGCTATTCCATCTCAAGTTCTGGTGGCCAGGAAACGGTTCTCGTTCTTGGTTCAACGTTGTCGTGGGTCCATATATGAAACTGGCATAGAACGACGTCAATTCAAGATCTATTTGTCTCTAAAAAAATAATTGATTTGAATAATATTTTTCAAAAAATGATCGCTTGTATCGTTTATGAAAATTTTTAGACATAAAATTATTATTAATAATGAAAATATCTTTCATTAAATAGCGGTCGTTTTCTGAAAAACATTTTTCAAATCTTTCGTTTTCTAATACAAACAAATGGAGCCTTAAGCCATCCAAGAGAAGTCTCCAGAAGCCTTAAAACTCGATCCTTTATTGAGGCCTTGGCCTGAAATTTGAGCCTCGAGCTTTGAAATGCTTGTGCTCGAAATAGCACTATCGTTTATTGCAGAAGCACTCTTTTAAAGTCATAACCAGGTTAAATAATTCACTGAAAATCAAATGAACAAGAAAAGTTAAATAACAATGTTGGAAAATCATGTCAAAAAAATGATTTTTGAGGCTGAAAATGACTTCAAATGCCTTTGGCAATTGATCCCAAGGCATCGAGCTTTCAAATGAGTTCTTTTGGGATAAAAATATAAAATTGATACACTTTTGATAAATTTACCTAAAACTAATTTTTTTGACTACAAAAAACCCCTCAAACTGGTACATCTGTGACAAATTTAGAATTCCGTTAGTTTTCGCTAAATTTTACAGTCAAATTACTAAGATTGATAACTTGTGGTAGTTGACGGGTGTACTAATTTTGGGGTTTTATCTTCCGTTAGTAACAAGTGTATTAGTTATCATTTTTTGTGATATTAATCCAATTTAATGAAAACTAACAGAGTGTAAATTTATCATAAATGTACTAGTCTGGAGTAAATTTGTCACAGATGTACCAGTTTGAGGGGTTTTTGTAGTCAAAAAAATTAATTTTAGGTAAATTTATTATAAATGTATCAAATTTTGGTTTTTCGTAGTATTGATCCTGATATTTTTGAGCTTTGCTACTCTACTTAGATCAAAAGTTATGCTAGTTGAAATTGGGATGCGAGAAATTCGTTTATCTTCATGCTTTGTAGATTTTAACGAAGAAATGTGTCAATAATGTTATAACTATGATAACTACTTCCATTTTTTCATTTATAAAATTGAAAAGAAGGATTCAAAGTTAGGTTTAATTATGCTAAGATCGGACGATTATGGCCTTTTTTTTTATCAACTATGTAAGGCTCGGAGACCATGGCAAAAAAAATAAAATATTTTGAGGCCCAACCCATTTGACCGTGCTCACCCCAGTTGATCAAGACTCGATCATGTAATTTAAAGAGATTAATGATCCGATTGCACTTTTTCGACACATTCGGGATGCAATTACCTTCCTAGCAAAAATTGTCTATACTTTTTTGACTCATTCGGTGATACGAAATAGGAAATAAGGTTTTTCAAGTGTTATATGTCTCTGTTGCAAAAGTATTTCCCTAATCAAGCCAAGGATTCACATGCCGTAAATCTTCAAAGTGAAGGAATTAATTAAAAACTATAGTAACTATTCAAGTATGGTTACTAGTTACTCCATACCGAAAACAAGTTTAAAGTATTCCTAATCATCAAATGGAAGTTTTCATAACTGTTCGAATTTTACCGTGTTCTGTATCTCCTCAAGACATGAGAGGTGATTTTTTACGGGTCAGGAGATTAGTAACTTTTTCCTCTCGGAAGCTACTGATAAATAGCGGTTCATGCTCACGGAATGAAATTCAAAAACTCGAATATATATCTTCAAGGAGGGGAAATCGGGGTGGATTTATGCGGGAGAATTATCCGAAGTCACGAGAAAAGAAAGGAAGGAGAGAAAGGAAGGCGCTCGTAATTTGCCGAATATTCGATCCCCCCGAAGAAAGAAAGGAAAAGAAAAAGGTGGGAGAATTTGCTGAATATTCAAAAAAAAAAAGAAAAAGAAAACAGGAAAAAAAGGGGGGGGGGGGGACAATAATGACACGCAGGCACAATAAAAAAAAAAAACAACAGGGTCTCTTCCCCCCTCCCTCGGCTGGCTGGGCTGGCTTCCCCCCTCTTTCTTTCTGCTTCAATTTTAAGCTAGTCTCTTTTTGCTCCTCCCAAACTCTCTCTCTCTCTCTCTTCCTCTCTCTCTCTATTATCCCTACTACCTCCCTCCCTCTTCTTCTTCTCCTCCTCCTCCTCCTCCTCCGCTTCCGTCTTCTTCTCTCCTTCTTCGTATTTATACGCATCGCCTCTCTCTCTCTCTCTCTCTCTCTCTCAGTCTCTCTCGGCTTCTTCTCCACTCTCGCCTCCGCCCCCTTCCGTAGTGTTCTAGGGTTTAACTATTACCGAGCGGCTCCTCGACAGGCTGGGTCTCCTCGGCCACCCCCACTACCCATGGCGGCCGAGAAGCTCCGGGATTTGAGTCAACCGATCGACGTCGCATTGCTCGACGCCACCGTCTCTGCCTTCTACGGCACCGGATCTAAAGAAGAGGTTCCGCTTCTTTCTTTCCCTCCCCCCTTCCTTCCTTCCGCTCTCTCGTGTTTTTTTTTTTGTCTCGGTGCCCTCAATGCTCTCGCTCCCTCGCTTGCTTGCCGTCGTTGCGACGCTCGTGTCGTCTCTCGTGTGTTTGCGCGAGTCTCTAGCAACAATCCCCGCGGGCTAAGGTTTTTTCTAGGGTTTAAGGCTCCCCCCACCGGGGAATTGTCTCACTCGCTGTATACTGCTGCTAGACAGCGGGGGGACGGGGGAGCGTTGAGCCTTGCGGTCTTGAGGTATTCGATGGACGAGGATTTTCTCTAATATTAGGGGAAGCGCGGATTCGAGCGAGTCCACCCCAGGTTCTAGATATTAGGAATTCCGTCCCCTATTAAGGTCTTCCTGCCCTCCCTTTTGGGTCCTTGTACTCTGACTGTAGTCCGAGTATTACGTTCTACTGCTCATCATGATAGGTTAAGCTGACAGTTTTCCTCGGCTTTCTGGCACGGGAATGATACTATGGCGTGCAATCCCCCCACCCACCCCCTGGCTTTCTTTTCCTCTTTTGATCGGCTTGCATCCTTTTCCTTTGTAAGTTTCATTGATTAGGATTGCACGACATGAGTCGGACGATTGGATGTGTCGCATACCTGCAAAGTAATGGTGAATGTTCTCGCGTGCCATCTGTCAAGTGTCATTAGATCATTTCCTCTGCTTTCCTGCGTGGATCATTAGACTCCGTGCTCCTAGTTCATTACGTGGAACAGACAGGGCATTGCTACAATTGGGTTACGAAAAAGCACCGTTTGCTTTGGCGGAGCAAAACTGT